ACTAAAAAAAAAATATATATATATATATATATATATATATTAATTTAAAAAAAAACAAATTTAATGATCATCTCTTAATTATGCAGCACATGCATTTTATCTTAGTTTAGTTATATTAATATTGGACAATGAATCTGCACCTAGCACCGATTCATTTATTTTCCATTAACACTTTATATACGTGTCCTAATCAGAAACCACTCATGCATAAGATGTTAAAATTGCAATGTGAAAAAAGATGGTATATATTTACAATAAGGAAGACACCTGTTAGGCACGACATGCATGGTTGAAGTATCCTCACTACAGCTAGAAGCAGAAAGAAAATGATAGAATGAAAAAGATGACAGAAGCAAGAAGAGCATTCACACAAAGTGTGGGGTGGAACTGCAAAGAATGACAAAAACATTGCCGTAATGTAGTGTTTTCCTAAGCTAGCTCTTCCCTTCCTCGATCGGTGAACAATTGTATTGTGGTACATGCTCTTAATATTTTGTCCACAATAATTCATGTTCATGCATATACTATAAATTTTACATTGAATGTTTTCTTTTTTAATGAAGTATTAAAAGATTGCTACTAGACATATAATCTTATTTAGTCAATGTTGTTTTATGTTTGGAGACAAATTGTTTCAGTTAGCTCGGATACTAAATAGATGAAATATTTGTTAATAAAGAAATAGACATGCATGTATGCGTAAAATTTTCATATATATGACATGATAATGTTGCGTTCTACTCGACATAATTTATTCCAATAACAAAGTTGAAAAGTGTGCCGGACAAATTATATATATGTAATTGGTCCAACACTTTCAGTGTCTTGATTTGTAGGATACGGTGACGCAAAATTGTAAATGGATCAATTTGTTATATTTATGATACTATTATTAATGTTATGTTTTAAAAAATTAATAGATCATTTAATTAGCTAAAATGTATAAATTTAATTAAAAGTTAAGAGTTTATATAAACATATCAAATTAAAAGTATTTGATGAAATTTAAAATAAAAAAATATTAAAAAAAATACATGGTATATTTATAAAAATTTTAATTGGATTTTTAAATTTTAAAAATTATAATTAGTTGATTTTTTCCAATTATTATAATTGATTCTTAAAATTAATTTGAAGTTGCTTCAATCTGTCATAAAACAAAAAAAAAAACGTGGCAATTTTACTAG